TCCCCCCCCCCCCCCGCAATCATTCCAACTCTTCATCGTAAATCAGAACGGCTTTTCGTCGCATCTCAATCGTTCCCAGTCTTCTGGTCAATCTGAACGATTCTCCCGTCACTCAATCACTTCCCCTTGCACCTCGGAGTCTGAGGGTGATTTGGACATGGTATCACGAAACACCGACAGCTCATTTGAATCGATCGAGCACACTATTTATTTAAAATGCACCTGGCCCATTCTCTATGCGAGTCTACTCGCCAGCGCTGTGGATGCAGTTCGAAGTTTGTGGCCGTTGTTTCACACGGGATCAGTGCGCCAAATCAGCAAGCATGACGGCAGTGATTCGGACAAGAACGGCAAGTGTAGGCCAGACAGCACACCGGAAGTGGAATTGTGTGTTGCTGGCTTGGAGACACTGACCAAAAATATCCAGGTAATGCTTACTGTCTGTTTGTGTTTGAATCATATTCGGAAAACACACTCAAAACAAAAATAATGATCAAGCAAATACATTTCAATCTGCATGCTGTTCTTTTCTAGAACCAAATCCCAAACCTGATCCCAAGAGCTGTATATATAGATATATATATAACCCACCTACCAAACATGAACTCATAGTATTGATTCTTCGATGGACTGGCTCTGAAAGAGCCGTGTATCTAAAAGTCACCCGGTGTAGCAAACAAGGTTATTTTGCCGAAAATACATTTCTTGGGTACATGTATATGAATGAACTGACAAAAGGTTACAGGATACGCATGCCTGACAATCGACAAGGACCGCGAAACCGGTGGTGTGGTACCGGGGAAATTTTGTCTAGTCAACCATACGCTACTTATTGTGAAATATATATGTACATATGTATAAGCTTTAGGATACGTGAAGTAATGCAGTGAAAATCTTTACTTGATGGACTAGGTAGAAACGTTCCCCCGAAGTCACCGTTCGCAGCATGACTTTAGATTTGCAAATGGAACATGAAAGTGCAGAGTGAGTAAAGATGGGATCTGCCCAAGGGAGGACAAATGAAGTGTGCGCCTGTGGCTGACTCATTCGGTCCCATGTCGAACTGTACACCTTTGAATGATCAATCCTGATAAGAAATAATTAGGAATACCTTGCTTTCGTCGTGTTTTTAGGAATCCGTTTCACGTCCTCGTTTTCATGCCATCATTCCCAACACCCCCCGAATTCTGAATTACCATATATTCCCTCAGGAATTCCCCCCATATAGCACATGTACGCATCATCAGACAGAGGATAGCAAGTGAAGTCCAGCTTAATTTGGAACAATAAGTTCTTTTGAAGGACCTCTGTGAATCAAAATTCTGGTTTTTCGTTCATATATGTTTAACGTGACAGTTGGCCTGCAAACTCTTTTCCACCAAACTGTTTTACTTGCACAAATGGTTCAGTAAAATTTAGGTACGTTGTCGATCCAGCTGATAGTATCTGCCTATCAAGCACGGTGTATAAATGCCAAATAGACACAGACCATGTTCTGACAGACGAAGCTCTCTCATGTCACCTTCCAATAATAGGGGAATATCCGGATATATCTACGCACTGTTCCTAATCCGCATGCTCGATCACTGCCGTGGCAATAACCCCCGTAGAAATCGTCCGATCGTCAAACGCTTTACCCGAATTAAATGAGAGCCTTTCTGCACTAAAATTGATATCGCAGCTCTGTTGCACAGTGCACAAACGTTTTTATTTACACAATCTCACTTCTGAGCTATAAGTGTTCAGGTTGGATGATAGCTTTTCTCATTGGGATTAGATGTGGTTCGCAGCTTCAGATCGCGATTTTTAGTCCGTCGGTTCCTCGGTAATCTGCGGCTCAACCCCATTTCTGTGCATCACTTCAAAATGTGTAGTAAAAGATTGAAAACCCCTGTGCTCGAACTGTGGGTATACATACGATCAGTTGTCTCTCTGCTAGCATCATCCGTCACTGGAATGTCTAAATAAAGCAGCAACCGACTTTTATCAGCCCTAGACCACGAAGTCTGATAACCGAAGTATTTATCATTCCTTCTTGTAGAAGCACTTTACTCACTTAATCTATTAACTAAATTCCAAAAAGAGGAACAACGTTCGTGAGCCTGTCACCTAAATTCTTGCGCATATTCTGTTCATTCGATGAAATGCTCGATACCGCCAGTTTTCTGTGAGAGACAGCCTCTGGTTATCCTACTTGGTACCACAATCGATCAGTGTAATTCCAAATCGATCATTGGATCCTCCACATCGCATAGGTATCGTTAACTCTATTGTGTGTGTGTGTGTGTCACGTGACTCAGACAGCTCAAGTATAACGGACATGAGGGCAACTTATTATCCCGGCCACGCGAACGTGTGGCAGGAAGTCACATCGATTGGAGTATTGCGACTTGATTTAACCTCCTTAATGTTTTGATCATCAAACGGATATTGCCGTGTCGCCCGTCACTGACGGAAAAGAATACTTATGAATGCGTGACCAGATTCGTGACAATAAGAACAGTCATCTAAGCTGGATCAATCGGACAGCAGGTGTCGTCGACAGATCACGTTCACCCTGGATAACGGCGTGAAGACAAAGAGTGTAGGGTGTAATAATGACGCGGTCGTTCTCCTATTTCCGTTTTATCATGAATGTCTCCTTTGAAAATTAAGCAGCGTAAGGAATTTTTAACTAACCCTATCTGGGAAGATCTTCAGTGAAGGATACTGACTTCATTTGGAGGAACTTTATAGCCAGTAAACTTTCTCAAGCTTCATATAATAATCTTTGGTTTTTAATACATTTTGTGAGTTGACTATCACAACCAGCATTCCTATCGGACTACTATGTGATCCAACTATCAAGTGCTTAGTTTATCCTGCCCATTTACTCCTTGACATACCTGTCGTATTGTGTGTCCTGCAATAAAATGTTACGCGACACCAGACTCACCGCTAAATCGCAGCTAGTGGTGATCCTGGAACAAGGCGGATTAGCTTCACGATTTCTTACTTTATTCATTACTGAATTTTGTCTCTCTGATCTAGTAGCCCTCCATAGAAGAAACGTACTTGTAGCATCTAACTCACACACCCTATAGTTTGTACTGCGCAAGTAAGCGCATTCTGCTATCCAGCACATTTGTGTTCCATTATGCAACGGTTTCTGTGTGGTCCTTGAAGGAAATTCACATCATGTTTTTGATACTGTGTTTAATGATGCGTTGAAATCGGTTTTAGCCTGATGAATGTGTCCTCAGATCCGGCCTAATGGAACCATTTCATCATACTTGAAAAACAACAACTGTGGCGTTCAAATGACAATAACTGCGTTTACGTTTCCAGGAATCCAAAGGCTCCTATCTTTTAACCGCTGTACAATCAGGATTATTGCCATTCCTGTACAACATGGCTTGGGTACTGGAAACCGCGTTAGTACGCTACGAGGATCGACTTGCCCAAGCGGATTGTCTCGGTCTGGGACCACATGTCCTCATTCCCCTGGTGACTACACTCAGTCGACTGATGGCTCGTGTGACGCATGCTCTTTTATCCCATCCCAGCTCCGGATCAAATGAAATGGCTGGGACGGATGACCTCATGTTCAGCACTGTCACTCAGTTTATTCGACATCTGTTTGTCCTGTCACCCGGGTCAAATGTCAGCAGCTCTGCGGCGGACCAGGCCCAAACTGATGATCGTGAAAGTAAGTAACGCGTTGGCATCACTAGCTGTTTTATAAAGGTTTTCGGGAATTCGTTTATGGAACAGAATACAAAAAAAGAATTATATTCCCATTTGTTCATTCTCCTAACCAAAACTAGAAGCAGCTACATCATTCAAGGTGTTATGTTTGCTCGTTGTTCACTTCATTTTTTCCATGATATCACAGATTTGTCAGATTCGGGATGAATTTCGGGTCACAACTTTTGCAGATTTTATTGTCAAGAATTGTACAACACTTTTAATCATAATCCTCAGTTATTCGGGTCGTTCGCGAACTACGTTTGCTTCTTGGATGGTTAATTGTGCAATTTATTTCACGATTTTCAAGAGCAGCTTTCGATTAGTCTGGTAAATATAGGGTGGAGACTTCTCATGTCCATAAACGTAAGGGGCTGACTAATCCGCGTGTTGGTGCTTCCTGCTGTGAGTCCGGACGACGGGAATCTGACGTTTGAGAATTGCTACTCTAACTCGATCGCTCTTGTTGATCCTTTCGTGACTAAAAGTGTATCGTTGGTCGTTTTTGCGGGAATCGTGCCGATAACACATAGGCGGTTAAGATAATTGGGTACAGTGTGCACTTTGCTCCACCCAGTCACAAGATTCTTCTTCGAGACGGAATGGACTCTGTTCTTGCAGTCACCATCGCTGTCGATCAGGTGGATGTAGTCGATCGCTTTGTCTAACTCGACAGTAAAGTAATAGTAGGCACTGGATAGGCAGTAATATCAGGCACGGCTGAAACCATGCTGACTTTTGCCAATCTGGGAAATCTATGAATCGGCCATGGCATTCACCTCCTTTTTCGACGATGGGTGTGAAATGCCACGGTTTACTACGACGAAAGTGCGTGGCTAATGGTTGTGCAAAACGAACTGAACTAAATTGCGATGTATGTCTCTTCCTTCGAATAACTTTTAGTATTCGATTGTGATCATCCTCTGTTGAGGAAACCCTATTCACTGCCTTCTATTGGCGGAGGTATTTTCCCACCAAGTGAGAGGATGAAAAGCCGACATCCGGGGCTATAACCGGGTTAGTGGACCATTGGCAGTTCCCCTAGTGGAGTTGGCCAAAAACCCTGGTTCCAAACCAACCATGAGGAGGCGTACGAACCACACTCACCCACACCCTCCTCGGTGTGGCAGTGGTCACCGGCACGATTGGGCATCGAGGTGTATAGCGCACCTTGGACGTATGATCCGATGAACTGCACATCGGCTCCCAGTGGATTGCGGTTTTCGCACACCGCCCCGCTGCCTCGCTGATGAGGATGTGGCTTGNTGCCTTGACCTAGTTAACCTAGCAGTATTCAGCCCACATGCAGATCATTGAACGTTTTCCTTTATCATAAAGATTATTGTACCATGATTTGTTTGGTACACAGTCTGGATTTAGACGTGTGTGAAAATATAAATATATATATATATATATCCTCTTGACTTAGGTCGCCCCTGACAATGACATAATGGAATTATGAATGTGGTCTGATGTGTATTGGGTTTATACTGTTATCATTTATCCTTCCCCTCATTGCTTGGAAATATGCCATTTATTCCCATTCATTGCTCTCTCTGCTGGTCTATGCTTGCAATTTCTGAGCAAGGTGGGAAGGAGCATCAGGGCAATATTGATCTTCTTGGGTCCTTCCCGAATAACCATCATGGGCTTGAGGAATATTGGACGGTAATCATGGTACACCAAGACAAACTGTTACCAAAATGGATGCAGTATAGAACAATAATCATAACCCGCGACCCTACTATTAAACTATCTTTTGTTACATGCCACGGTTTTGTTTGTTAATGTACACGTTTGGTATCCTCTCTGTTTTACGCTGATGTGCGTGTGTGCCTGTGCACTAGAGCGGAGGTCAAGCTGCTCATCAACCTATGGAACTGATCTGTAGTCTGAACTACTAATTGTAATGGTGAAGTTGAGATTCTAACTTGAACCTTGGGAGTGTATAACTAATTTGAGTTTCAATGATACTGATGTGTAACCTGATGTTGGAAACACTGAAATAGTCCATCAGTATGGTTTATTCTTAATGAGACCCTTTAGATTGGAGTTTCATGCAGCGTGCTTACATGAACTCACTTCATAACGACCCTTACATTTTAATTTTTACTTCCTTTTATTGAATACACAATGATACAGTTGTCAGACAGGAGGAAGCGACCAATCAAAGGGCTGCCACATAACAAAGAATAGGGAAACGTCGGGTGCGATGGTGAGATTCGAACACACGTCCTCCTGGGATGATATTTTGGTGGCGTTACCACCAGGCCACCACCGTCCAGTATCCTGTTGCAACCACAGATTCACCTTTATGGATCGATCTTTTGAAAATATTGCAACAGAGTTGAGCTAAAAGTTGATTACAACCAATTCTCATAGGCCAACCAATGACATGATGGAAAGCAATAAATGTAAATAAATGTGAAATGTTGCTACGCGACTGGGTTGTCCCAGCCCCCCAAATCTCATTGAATAGGGACGTAGACAAATTGTTCTATTTGGGCAGCTGCATATCAGCTGGTTGCTTAATCTTGGATGAAAGAACGCCACACCTACAAAAAGCCCGATTGACATTTTTCAATTCCAGTCATCTATGGTGGCGTCGTTACATCCGGCAGATTATGAAAAACCGAGTGTATGCTGCAGTGCTGCTTTACGGTGCAGCGACTTGACTATTACGGAAGCAGGAGAAAGATAGTGGCGCTTTTCATAGTTCAGAAGTCTACGGTGCATTTCACGAGTCCGGTTGGAAAAGCGAGTAAGCAATTCTGAGGTTACGTCCGACGCTTTATATATGATCATGGTTGCTCACTGGAGCAAACGGTCGACTTCCTTAGATTATGCTGGTTGGGGCATGTGTCACCAAATCCGTTGCCACGGTGCGCGATGTTACTCGAAGCGGTTCATTGGTGAAAAAAGGTCGTGTGGTCAAATATGACGTGGTATGCGGGCATCAAAACCCAGACAAGAATGTGTTAATCTTGAGGGTTCTCCGAGCTGGGAGTGTTGGTTGCGGCCAGACTAAGCAACATCGTCCGTGCCACTTCGGGTCGTTGTCTAGCCTGGCTAAGAAACATCTACAACCAAAACTCCCAGCTCAGAGAACTAATCAAAATTCGTTTCCCGCGCTACATTCATTTTGCTTTGTATTCATCTGACCAAGATACTAGGACATCTGATCCGCGTTAGACTGTCTGGATAGGAACCTCAGAATCAGTGTAGTCGGTGGTTATAGTCCACGGGTGATACAACTGAGTGCTTTAAACAGCAGCCTTCGTGCACCTTCTTAATATCCTTGCAACCTTAATCTATCTGAATTCTCTCTCTCTCTGCTTTCACCGATCCAGTGCTCCCACTCCTTCCAAATAGGCATCCAAAACCGCCGCACAGACGTGCATGATTGATTTTCGTTTAAAACTGAACTGAACTGACATGCTTCATACTGTAATTGAGGATAACATTTACCCTAAAATATTTCGGAAATTTCGTCCTGATAGATTTATTTCATACTGAATTTTGCCAACAAGTGTGCTTTGCGCATAACCATGTTATTAACAGTCATGTAGCAGAATATTCGGTGAACAAGAAAGTCCATCCCGACCGGATTCAGACCTGCAATCTTTGGATTTTTGATCCGACATGCTATCCATTGCGCCACAGGACCGACAGACGGACATTGTGGTGTGAATAAATGTTTAGTCATCAGTTTGCGGTTTTCCCCAGTATGGCCTTCGTTACTTTCGATTCGCAGTGCAATTACTATAAGAAACCATTTGATCGTTGGTGTACATTAATCAAGCGTACTTTTCTATCACCAAGGTGAAAATAGGAATAGAATTTGTGGGTCGTTGGTGGGAACCAGTATCAAGTGTAATCTCAAATACTCGACCGTGGTATACCTTTCGTGATCATTATCACCAGACAGTAAAATCTAAGCATTTTAATACTTTGTTGCACTTTTGAGTTGTTCATAGCCCAAGATTCAGCAGGATTCATATACTGTTGGTTGCTTTGCGCACGCTAAGTGGAAATGTGGTCCTAGTTGTCCTAGCAGTCCTATTATCCACTGTGGCTCATTTGTTACTGTCTCAGAACTGGTGACGATTATGCTCGTGGACAAAGTGATTCAAATATTGGTAGTTCGGAATGCAACGTTTTTCTCGTTTGTGTTCATTAAAATATCAACGGTAAATTCGTCGTGTATATAGCAAAAAAGGCGTGAACTGAAAAGCTAGGAATCACCGGACAGCTGTTTCGACCTGGTTGGGTCTCTTCAGCGGTGCGAATCCATCTACTCGACTTTTGATCGAACCCGGGAACTCGTGAGCAGAACGCAAGCACGCTACCTACTCGGTCATCGGGCAGCTGATCAGGCCATTTTTCATTTCCCATTTACACGATATAGCACAATCCATCTTTGCGAGCTTGTTGCGGGTGAAATTAAACCAAATCCTCCATTACTTACTTCATTAAAATAGTTCGTTTTCCAGGAATCAAAATAAGCGTTAAAAAAATATTTATCGTAATTGGTGAATTTTCCATAGTTGTTTTGGAGCTTTTAAAATAATTTTTCTGAACAATCAGCCATTTATTCAAATATGTCCAGATGCCCTGAAATTTAACCCACAATCCGTTTAATCACTTTTCTAACTTTTATGACTTATAGTTTACTAATAATCATTATCTGTTATTTGTAGAATGCAAAACACCGAAACCGGGCCCTGTTACACGATGCTTAGTACGCCGTATGTTGTATACACTACTGGATACATTAACAAACCAACTGGATACAGCCGTCAGCGCACTCAGACAAACGGTTGAAGCAGGCACTGGGACGAATGCACGGACGAAGAAGTTAGGTAGATGGTCGTCCTAAAGTGAAACATTCTGTTCACTATTTTAATTTTTTCCTAGGATATTATGCAATCTTTTCCATTTATATTCTGAGCCATCTTACATAATACTGTCGTTTTCTCGTATTAAACAATTATCAGTCAACCGCGGCTGTCTCTGTGTGATTCTTGTCTACCCATTTCTAAATTTGGCAAATTTCCCGTCCAGATCAATCGAACGCAGTTGCGCGAGTCGAGGAACTTTTCAAGCAGTTCACGTGGGCTGTTGATTTCACTGTGGATATGCTCACTTATTCCGGTTAGTGCATTGTCACTTTGTCTTTATTCCTTTAATGATGCCATGAGGTTGGTGTTTCAGCTTATTCTCTCGTCTATGTTACGACAACGTACATTCGTTTTTGAATGCTTCATCGAAATCCCTCCGAGGCACCAAAATTCATTGCATTCGTTCGGCCCCAACTTGAAATTTCACGATCACACTTTGTGACTTTAGAACCGGTATTTGTTTTTCACTTCTGAAAGACTATCGATCAGTCCATTGGTCATTCAAAAATTGAACGGGACGGTTTGCTTTCTTGAGCTGCCTCGGGATTATATCAAAGCTGTATGATACACCTATGTCCAGACACAGGCCTTGGGATTTGACCGTATAGTTTCATCGCGCTGATCATCTGCCGTTCGTCGATTTTTTGAGAAACCGCTGCAAACGAGTGAGTAACAATGTTCGAAGTCACCAAATTGCACATCAAGCTGACCATCGTGTAGCGCCCGGGTGACGTTCCGATGATAGAATGACTGTCCCATCCACTATTCTATTGTGTCCCAAATTTAGTAAGTAAATGAGCACACAACGAATGGAGCAGTAAGTTGTAAGCAGCACACATGTAGCCGGTAAACAAATCGGGGAACAAGCAGGAACGATACGTGTGTAGGAAGGCAGGCAGAGTCCGGCCCACACGTCGCAGTACATGTGAATGCCGTCAAGGCAGCATTCAAACAATCAGTCAATCGATCAACCGATCGATCGATCAATCAATTTGACCACAGGCTTGTATGAACACAATTCAGTCAGTTGTAAGCCATGACATATTCAAAGTGATATTCGTTCGCTGATAGAATATATATATATATATCGAGGGCACTGGATAATTTAAAGAATGTTAGAATAAATTCCAGAATGTGCGAGTCATTCTACTCTAAGAGAGTGGGCTATATTCTGAAATTGAAGAAGACGTCGTGCAAAGCGACTTTTTCGGCACGACCGAAATGTAAGGGGAAGAGAGACACCCTATTTTCCTGGTTGAATTTCTGGAAGTTCTTGAATACCTAAAATTTAACAAGGCACGTGGCCCTGATAGATTCCGTCCTGTTTGAAGTTTGTACCGAACAGCTTGCGTTACCCTTTGGGTTGATCAGTTTGTGTATAGTCTCGGTAAGTATCCCGGATTGCTGAAGATAATCCCGATTAACACCTGTCTCCGAGATTGGCTCTTCAAATAGCTAATCGATTTTTTGTGCCTAGACGCTTTAGAGTTATTGTTAAAGTTTGTTGGTGAACCAAATGACTCCCCCATCTGGCGCTCATGGTTCTCTTAAATTTGCTTATAAAACTGACATTCTCAATCTTGATGTAGTTGAGCACGTTCTTCAAACAAATTATGTTTCTCATATAGGTAAACGTCAGAAGCTAGCTTGGTTGTGCCAGGTACTTTGAGCAGACGTTTGTCAAGTCAAGTCAAGTATTCGCTTTATGCACCCCGAAAGGTGGATATTCAGCAGTCACATCGTCATCTAACAATTATCGAATAAAATTATTACATAATTATCGTGAGCAGTGAAAATGAATAC